GCCACCCAGGCACCCCAACACTGTCTTCATTAATATAGCTTTGTAATAAAGTTCGAACTCAAGAGGTATGATGCCTCCACTTTTGTTCCTTTTTCTCAACATTACTTTGGTATTCAGGGCCTCTTATGATTTCATATGAAATTCAGGTTTTTTTTTCTATTTCTATGAAAAATTCCATTGGAATTATGATAGTTATTGCATTTAATCTGTAGATCACCTTGAGTAGTATGATTTTTAAAAATATTTATTTTTTCCATAAATGAACATGGGATAGCTTTCCTTTTATTTGTGAGTTCTTCAATTTCTTCCATCAATGTCTTATTGTTTTCAGTGTATAGATCTTTTGCCCCCTTGGTTAAATTGATTCCGATTTTATTTTTTGACACTATTTTAAATAGAATTGTTTTCCTAATTTCTTTTTCAAATAGTTTGTTGTTAGTATATAGAAACACAACTGATTTTTGTGTTTTGATTTTGCATCCTGCAACCAAATACATTTATTAGCTCTAACAGTATTTTGGGTACATGGCATTACCTCAATCTTTTTCCCCCACATGGAGAGAAGTCACAGTCTCTCTTGGGGCTCAGCTGTGCCAGCTTGAGGGAGGGGCTGATGCCAGTGAGGTCTAATTGCGTTCCTACCCATCTCTAGTGTGGCTCATCTCAGTTTTATGCTCACATGTACTATCACATTTTCTTAAATAGATTCTGTACCTTTCATAAAGGAGTTTGTTACTTATATCATAGTTAACTGTACTTCTGTGGGCAAATAAGTGCTGGAAATTCTTATTCTACCATCTTGCAGATACCAAAACCTTTTTTTAAATTTCTTGATACCAACAATTCTACCACGAGGTTCATTCACATTTGCAGGAAAATCCCCATTCATATGACATGTTATTTTGCTCTAGATCACAAAGAAAGATGCAAGGTGGGGCTCTTTCAGTTAAGCATCAGTGGCTCAGTCAGTTAAGCATCTGACTTTTTATTTCAGCTCAGGTCCAGATCTCAGGGTCCTGAGATCGAGCCCTGCCTTGGGCACTGTGCTGGGTGCAGAGCCTGCTTAAAGATTCTCTATTGCTCTCCCCCTACCCCTCAACCCCAGCTCATGTGCACACTGTCTTTCTCTCTCCGAGAGGGAGAGAGAGAGAGAGAGATGCAAGGATTTTCTATTTGTTGTACAAAATACCAGAACGTTTATACTTATACTGATCAATAGCAATATATGTGATACATATTATTCATAAACACAGATACTGAAGTCAAATAAACCTTCTATTTCAAGGAACAGTACTTTAAAAATACCAAAAAGAAATTACAAAATAAAAACAGATAAATCTCCCATTTACTCAAGTAAAGCAAGAACAAAAAGAAGACAATGTGCTCCTTTCAGCTCTACCTAGGTGCTTAACTACTTATGAAAGGATGTTGACCTCTTTTTACCATAAGATGAATCCCACCCCGACTTCACTTGATGTGGGAGTTGCTACTGGTCTTGGCCCTAGCACACTCCCTGGCTATGGCAGCAGTGCCAGGCCTGGCTGCAACTCTGGTTCGGGTTCTCTCACACATCTCAGTCTTTTTACACTTCATAATGTGTTGGAATTCAGGACCGCCAAGGGCTGACAGCAGGAACTAGACTCTACAGGCCACCAGTGTTCTGGGTAGGTGCTTCCTTCATTCTTTTTAAGGGAATTCACATTTACATCTGACAACTTCCTCTTCCGACCTGAGATTGCCTTCCTTAGACCAAAGCTCTCAAGACCCTGACAACTGCTATGAAAAACTGAGGAGATTCTCAGCCTAACAGCTCTGCCTGGAGCCTTCTAGCTTTGAGGAAAGGCAGGGGCTGCACTGTCTGTAACACCCAATATTCTGGGATGTTGCTTTCTCCTTTTTCCAGTTCTGGTTAATGGGTATCCTCCTAAAAGCTTTTGTCACTTCCGTTAAAGGCTTCTTGGGAAATGCCACATCCCTGAAAATTCTTGAGCAGTTTCCCTACCCAGACCTTGCAGAGAATGGTCCTTGTCCTAGGAGTGATAAGAGATGCAAAATCCACAACAGCACAAATCAGGGGGCCCATGTAAGTACGCTGTAAGAAAAATAAAATGTTGTTCTATTCCTTCTCTTTCCTGGACAGGCTTTTAAGGTCTCATGTAAACTTGGTTCTAATATGTTTGGTTTTTTTAATAAGGAAGTGGTTGAGTCAGATAACTTTTTTGAGCCCCTGATCTTTTAAGGTTATCTGAAATCATATATGTAGATGATCCTCTAGCCTGCAAGTATTATCTCTTTTTTCCCCCTTTATTCAAACCTCACATTTATTTTAGTACTATTACTGCTCTGGCATATCCTAATACATCTGCTATAGAGTAGCTGCTTGCCTCATTCCTCATACAGCATTTCTTTTTTAAGATTTATTTACTTATTTTAGAAAGAGTGTGAGCCTGTGAGTACGGGGAGGGAAGAGGGAGAGAATCTTCAAGATGACTCCCTACTGAGTGTTGGAGCCCAACACAGGGCTCAGTCCCACCACCCATGAGATCATGACCTGAGCCAAAACCAAGAGTTGGATGCTTTACCAATTGAGTCACCCAGGTGTCCCCTCATATAGGACTCTTACCTTGACATTGTCATGGCTGGGATTCCGCTTCTAAATAGCCAGCATGTAAGCCAAAGACTTCGTTTCCATGAGAGCTTCCAGGTAGAAGTCCCGGGGCACTTGAGACTGCCAGCTCTTGCCTGTGCCTCCCAGGCTAACAGTAGAGAAGGTGTTAGGTGTAGCCCAGTCAGCTGTGGGTTGGGTGATTCCCCGTGTCCACACACAGTGTATTCACTTGGCCCCTGCACCCTCCCTGGGACTCTACTCTCTCTGCTTATCTGAAGATAAAGCCTTGGGACAAAGGTCACACCTTCCTGGGACCTGAGTTAAAGTCAGTGTTAGCTACAAGCAGCCAGGACCATTCTGAACTCACAGAGCTGACAACTGGGACAGGATTTTTATGGAATCCTACTGTGCTGGCTGGGTCCTTTCATTGCCCTCTTTCAGGTCGATCTCCATGATTTCTGAGACTGATATTCCTTTCTGCCCTTAGATGAAGGCTTTTATGCCCGTGAGAAGCCTTAAGACTAAGTGAGGGTATGTTCAGCCTGACAACTGCATCTGAGACTACCTGTGCTGAAGAACAGATGGGCCTGAAGTTCCTGGCATTGCCTGTATTCTGTGGAGTGGGTCTCCCCAATCCTCCTACAAGGGGCCCTCACCTTGGTTTCTGTCTCTAGGACTTAAGGCTTCCTAGGAAATTCCAAAGCTCTGCAAACTCTGGAGCAGCTTCTGCCTTGTGAACCTTGCGGAGAATGCGCCTCTATCCTGGGAGGGATGTGAAACGGGGAAGCTGTAGCCCAAGGCAGGAATCCCAGGCCCAGGGGTGGGCCGTCAGGGGAAAAAATACACTGATATCTTCTTTCCGTTCAGCAGCCAGGTGGATTCTCATGTAACGTCTGTTCTGCAAGATTTCCTTTCTACAGGTAACAGACTGTCCAGGCTGATTTGAGAGCCCCTGATCTTTTGAGGTTCTTTAACATTACAAATGTAGATGGTCATATGGTCATATGGTCACCTAATCCTGTCATCTATTTATTTATGCCTCTCAATTATTTTGGTATTCTTTTTGCTCTGGCTATATATTCCAATCCAGCAGTTTGGACACAAAGCCATTCTTTTTATCACCTAAGACAAATTTTGAAGTACTGAGGAGAAAACTGAAATAAGAAACACAGGGTGTGTCTCAGGGTGGGAGGAGTAAAACAGTGTGGGCTCTATAATAATTTAGACCAGGAGGTGCGCCTGGGTGGCTCAGTTGGTTAAGTGACTGCCTTCGGCTCAGGTCATGATGCTGGACTCCCAAGATCAAGTCCCACATTGGGCTCCCTGCTCAGCAGGGAGTCTGCTTCTCCCGCTGACCTTTCTCCTCTCATGCGCGGTCTCTCTCTCGCTTGCTCACTCAAATAAATAAATAAAACCTTTAAAAAAATAATTTAGACCAGGAGTCCAGTCCCAGCCCTGTCATTTACTTGCCCTATCAGTTCTGGTTCTCTATGAAGTAAGTTTGATAAGCTCTGTCTTGTAGGACTGATGGAGTGTGTGTAATGTACAGAAAGCATCTGTTGCTGGGCCTGTCTTCTACTGGGACATTAGGGAATGGCAGTTATTACTATGATTATCTTGACCTCAGACATTACCATCTATGCAGCTGAGTTTTGTTTTGTTTTTTACAACTAAGACATGTCAGAGAATATGCAGTGCTCTAGCCAAGAAAAACCTCCCAATCAGCCAAAATTCTGCTTAGGAATGAAAACTAAGTAATATGTTCTCTCCACCCCCTCTTTACCATGCTTTTCACTTGTTCTTTATGAAGTACTATCTCACCCTCTTCCATAAGGACAGCTGCTCCTAGAATCTATAATTGCATGGGCAGCGGCTGGGTCTTCTTTGACTAAACATCCCCAGTACAAGCACGAAGACTTCCCAAGAACAGATGCTCAATGTCTGTGTAAAATAAGAGACACGAATAAAGAGGTCTGATTCATTATGACTTATATTCTCAAACATTCTTAACAAACATAAACAAATTGAGGTATGCATCTTTTAAATTAGCAAAAAGTAAGACAAACCAAGAATTAACCAATTTTTACTCAATCACTCTATCTATCTATCTATCTACCTATGTACCTTCTGGTCGCAACTGTTTTAGTGTGGAACTCTTTTACATTTCCAAGGATATTCCTATCCTAAAGCTATATTAGCTTGTTCTGGATCACAAAAGTGATTTAAGGATTTCCAATTTGTATTTCAAATTGGAACAAAACAAAACAAAAACTCTTACTCCTAAGCCTGATAAACAGCAATAAATGTGTGATCCATGTTATTCATAAACTTATATTCTGAATCTAAGTAAACTTTCCGTTGAAAGGAACACTGCTTGAAAAATGTAAAAAAAAAATGATAGTTATTTTTGCATATCAGGAACACTAGTTAACAGGCCTTTCCAATTACAAAGCAAAGAATCTGCCTCAGCCCTCTCTAGGGAGGAGAGGAGAGGCCGGACTTAGTCTGGGAACGTGCACCAGCCCGGGTAGTAGAGGCAGCCCCAGCTGTGGCTCTGGCTCGGGCTCGCTCTTCCTCATCTCGCAGAGCCTCTTGGTAATGCGGGGGGAAGGCGCTGGGGACGGTATCATGGATCTTCGCCAAAAACTCCAGGACTCTCATCTTGCTGGTCTCCGCGTGGGCTCTCGGGCCCCACAGGAACTCGTAGCATGGAGGATCACTGTTGGCCACCTGGCGGTACTCCAGGTACTTTTCCTGCACCAGATCTTGGGTGATGAGCTTCCTGGGCTCCCCGAAGATGAAGTGCCTCCTTCCATCATGGATGCCCAAAATATTCAGGAATTCCCAGATTTCCTCCTCAGAGGTGCGGTTGCCATTCAAGAAGATCACACCCAGGAGAGGCATGAGAAGCCCATTCTTAGGAAAGCCCCAGGCACTGCTCACACTGCCATCGGTGGTGAGGTCTAGGCTGCTGACCAGGATATAGGAGTGACCGCCAGCCTTGACTTCCTTTAATTCCAGGCCAAAGACCAGCTCAATGCGCTCAGAGGCTTTCCTGAGGATCTCAGGGAAGTGCTCCCTGTACCTTTTGTGGATGATCTTCAGCATGTCTGACTTTTTAATGGGCTCCTTCAATTTATACTTATACAGCAGGAACTGCACCAGCATCCCCACCTTCTTGGTTAGAGGATCTTTGCGAACACTCTCAATGGAAGTTGAGGCCTGGAAGGAATTTTTCCTTTCCTTAACCTGGCGTTTGGCACCTACATTAGATCTTGGGCGTGAAACATGTGCAGCAGCACTGGTGGTGGCCAAGCCTTCCTGAGGCTCCTGGGAAGTGCCAGGAACAGGGGAGCCTGAAGGAGAATCCCCAGAAACAGGAGAGGAAGGAGGAGTGGTCTTTTCCTCCTCTCCTGTGGTGGCCTGGGCACTCATAAGACCTTGGGTCTCACCTCTGTTACGGCGGCGTTTCTCACGAGCACGGAGCTTACTCTTCTGACCACGAGGCATAATGGCTGTGATCAGAGATAGCAAGTAAGGGTGTGAGTCAGTGAACAGGTGATTTGAGCCCCTGCAGGAGGGAGAGTAAGATGGTTTTATCACCTTTGACAGGTAGATTTCACTTTGGCTTTATCAAAGGCCACCTCTGCAGGGTCATTCAGAGTACTGCTCTAGGACCCCACAAAGGCTCCTGTTCTTTTGGTCAGCTGTCCCCTAAGAATCCCAGAGAGGAGCCATGGAACGCTTAGAGTATGTCTTATTGGCATCCTGCTAGCCCTGCCTTGGGTTTACTCAGCTGAGAGCAGGTGTTTGCAGTAAGGTCCCTTGTGTTCTGGCATTCTGGGTCCTCTCAGTTTATCCTGTCAATTCTTGGCAAAGCTAGGGGAACCCTCCCTTCTGCTACTTTGAAGATGATACCTCAAACTCCCTGGGACCCAGGAGAAGGAACTGAAGGGGTGCCTCAGTCTACCTCCCTGCTAGAGAATACCCAGTGCTGGACCTCAGTAAGGTCCTCTCTGTCCTAAGTTCATTTGGCTCCTCAGCCTCCTTTAAGGTCCTCGTCTTGGCTACTTGAAGGGCTTGGCACCACTTCGCTTTGCTGACTGATGGCTGCACCTTCAGACTAAGACTGTCACAGCCTTGAGACCTGATATAAAGAAGTGAAGGGCATGCTCAACCTGACAGCCCTTCCCTGTGATTTCTTGGGCTGAAATCAAAGGGTTAATATGGATGTTTTGATGTCCTCTTTATTCAGAACTGGATGACCCCTTGATTCCTCACTCGGGTTCCTCAATCTGGCTCCTAGTAGAGAAGCTCCACTTTTTCTCAAATGGATGCCTATGTCCTGGTAAGAGCGAACCTCCTTGAGTCCCAAGAGGAAAAAGTGAAGACAACCTTATTTGACCAAACATGGTCCCTCAAGAGTAAAAGCTACTGCAGGCAGGTTTGTGTCCTATGGTAGGTGGCCCCTGACAGGATCCCAACTCAAGCTCTAAATCTGACTCAGATTTCTTCCTCTGCTGACCTAGAACTGCTCCCCTCAGACAAAAGACCCTCACTGTCCTGCTATTGTGGAGTGAGAACTGATTAACACTTCTGCCTGACATCTATCCTTGAGGTCTCCCAGGGCTGGTAACAGGCAGGATTCTTTGGGGCCCCACTGATAGGGCATGGGACATGTCCACAGTTCTCAAGGTTTTCACTATGACATGTGGCATAATCTCAAATCCTCCCTCTGCTGGCCTGAGACTGCCACTTTGACCTGGTTCCTCACCTCCCTGAGATGTTCTGGGAAGAAGTAGGTATAAGGCATCATGTCACCATGCCCAAATTTCCCAGGTGTGAAAACATGGCTTTACGTACCCCCTCATCTTTCTTGGAGGAGTCCTCCATCCTTCCTGGGTAACAGAACCTTGACTCCTGTTCGGGAATGGGTCTATTTTGCTGAAAGGAGCTTGCTCCATTAGACCAAGGCCCTCCCCTTCAAGATCACCTCCAGATAAAATGAGGGGGCACCTCAGGCTGCCAGCTCTGCCTGGGGCCTCCTTTGCTGAGTTTGGGAGTTGTCAGGTTGAGCCCCCAATTCCCTTAGTTGCTAGAGGGGAAAGCAGCTCTCTCAACATGTGTCTACCCTTCCTGGAGCCTCCTAGAGCAGAGTACAGGGGGGGCTTGCCAGTGTGGCCCCCTCTATTGGGTAAAGGCCTGCTCAAAGCACTCGGGGACCTCATCATGAATCCAGTTAGGATCTAGCTCTCCACCCCGAAAATTGGGCCTACTCCCACAGACCAAGGCCTTCTCCGTGAGACTTTCTAGGCCAAATTTGGCCTGCCAGTCGGCCGGGACCAACTGGGGGGCCAACTTCATTATGTGGGGGTAATAGTCTGTCCAGTTCCCTCTCAGGGTCCTCACCTTAACTTTACACCAGTCCCGGGAAACCAGACGCCAACGAACAAAGGAAAGCCGTGCCCAGTGGTCGAAGTCCCGCCCACAACGGAAGTCGGATGATCTGCATCCGGGGGCGGGGGGGGGTACGAGGGGTGGGATCTCAGGGCTATGAGTGAGTGGGGGGCTCTGTGGGACCCCCAGTGCTTGTGGCTCCTCCCTCTACTGGCCCAGTCTCACTGGCCCCAGGACCTCCTGAGTTCTTAGAGGGGAATTTCTGGTCCTGCTGATCCCTCGGGGCTACTCCTTCCTGGGCTGCATGAGCCTGAAAGCAGGAGCAGGGTTCTGGGAGGCATTTTGGTTTTGGGGCTTTGTTTGTTTGTTTTGTTTTTTTCAGAGGGAGGGGACGGGGTGGGAATGGGGAGAGGGAGAGAGAACATCTTAAACAGGCTCCGTTCCCAGGGCAAAGCCCCATGCAGGGCTGGATCTCATTACCCTGAGATCATGACCGGAGCTGAAATCAAGAGTCCTAAGCTTAAAGGACTGAGCCACCCAGGGGCCCCAGGGAAAGCCTCCTCGCACCTCCTTACACACTCACTCTGCTTGCTTGAGGCATCTCCCTTCACATCAAGGCCTTCACCTCTCTGAGACCCTTATGAGCAATCAGGGGACATCTCATATGCCAATCCTTGTGTGGGTCCTCCCAGAGTTGACACCAGGACCCCTCTTTCCTGGGGTGGTTTGCTCACCCCTCACTGATTCCTTACCTTGACTCCTAGCAGAGTATAGAATTCCTCCATCTGCCAAGCTGAGATCACCTCCTTCTGACCAGGGACCTCACCTCCTTGAGTCTCCTGAGGAGAAAATAGCACAAGACAAAGACCTACAGGACCTGCTTTGTTTGTTTGCTTGTATATACAGGATGCTGGCAAACCTGCTTGAGGGGGAAGTAAAGGGCCTTGGCTTGATATTCCTCCTGAACCTCCCAGATCTCACAGCAGGGGTGGGGCAGGATTCTGAGGTCCCTCTCCTCTGGAGTTATATTATTCTCAGTTCATATGGGAGGTACTCTGCAAAATCATTGTGCTCAGATAAAAGCAGGTATGAGGGCCTACAAGGGACCTCCTGGGAAGGGAATGACAGCAGCAAAGGATGGAACAGCAGACTGCACCTGCAGGTCTTCCAAGAACTTTGTTACAGGGAATCAAATAGACCCCCCAAATCAAATCCGTGCTGCAATGGTGTCTGCAACAGCATTCCAAAAATAGGGCCTATGAGGTAATATTGGGTATTATTTAAAAATATATATATTTTAGAGTAAGCTGGCTTAAACATAGTTGAATAGGTCTTAGTTTCTGGTTTTGTTTTCACCACAGGACTTCCCAGAACTGTCAGTATACCAGTAAGTACTGAGAGACTCCAAGGGGGATAATATAACATAATGAGTTTTCCTAACATATTTGACCATGGAAAGCATGTCCTCCTGCCATTTTTTTTTCCACACTGAATCTCAAGATTTCAACACCGAACATTTTGGAGATTCTGTCTACGATGTTCTTAGTGGACCCTCGGCTTATTTTCCTGAATGTTTTCGGCAAAAGTACAGTGGTCCTTGGATGGGGCAAGAGCACAGTCCAGGGACATTTTCAAAACAAAGTATCTGCTTTAGTGCCTATAAAGAGGACATCTAAAGTGCAAGGACATCGCTTTTAGTAAGTGACACAAAACATTAGCTCTTTAGGTATTTTTCCAAAATTTCAACTCAGAATTAACAGGACTCGACCACATTCACAACTTGCTTGAGATGCCTGATCTCTGGAGATGGTCTAAGGGTTGTGGCAAATATAGGTCACCCTTGAATTTCCCAGGGAATGATACTGTATTAGGGTTACTAAAAGGAGAGCGGATGCGTATTTTCTCAGCCCCCAAACCTTCATGGAGGGAAATAGGCTAGAGCCAGTCAATTGTAAAGAACCTCATCAAAAAATGTCTAAGTACAGGGCACATGTTCAGCCTCAGCGGTGAAGGGGAATGTCTGGAAAGCAGAGGTGAAAATCCTCTTATGAAATGGTTTTACACAGTGTGAGTGGAATAGGAATGTGGTAATGTGGAAGCCAAAAATTCATCCAAGTGGTACAGGATTCTGCATCTTTCAAAAGACTTAATTCTGGGCCCCTCTGGATATTGGGAATGAGGTTATTGATATTCTTTCTACCACTCTGGTAATGATTCGTTCAGAAACCGGAGCAAGCCGTGTTCCTGTAGAGGACATACATAGAGGTACCTGGGAAAAACAAAGGCAGGGAATGGAGATAGCAGCTCAGAGCAATGACCCAGAGATGCCTGTAGAAGTCTAGATTGCTACTGCTGAAAACACACATCCACTTTTCTCTTTACAATTCAAATAAATTTTAAAACTAAAGCCATTTCCTGGGCAAGACAGGAAAGCAAACTCAGCCTTTATCTTGTGATTTGGACTTAATATACACAGGTAATTTAGAAGTGTGTTGATTTGATCAAGTTGCTTTCTGAAATGCTGTATTTCAAAGCATTTTCCAGTAAGAAAGACACGAGGTAGTGGCTCAAGATAACTGGCATTTAAAAAACAGCATATGAGTAACAGATTTAGAGCTGTATTCATGGCTTCTCCTGGGTAATTTTAGTATTCATTAGTGCCTTCATCTCCCAGTGGAACAAGTCTCATGAATGCCATTAATATATTGTTTTGGTCATGTACTAGCTAATTAATACAGATATGAAATACAACCGTTTCTGAAACCCATGCCTCCATATATTTTAGCAATGCGTCTTCAATGGGATTTTAATATTTCCTTTTATGATATTTGGGTAGGTATATGGTTTTAAAATATAAACTTCTTCATCAGGGAATTGGAGCAGGGCTTTGTGACTTCACAAAAAATCTTTCCAGTTGAAAACACATCCTTCGAGTAGCCATTGATTTTGAAAGACTACTTCAAGCTTTATAATTATGTGCTACCACATACCATTCTTACATTGTAGAACAAGAAACCCAGGACAAAATAAAAGCATCTTAATATTTAAGTGGGCTATCAGATTTCCAAAGTGCCAGTCTTGTTTTAGAGAATCATTCTTAGGTTTCTTCTAACTGGTTTGTACATTTTATCATAAAAGCCTATTCAAAAATATTCGTGTTTAATCTTTAAAATGATCATTGTAGAGACGTAGGAAAATAGGAAAAGCACAGGGAAAACAACAACAATAACATGATCTCCACTACTCAGGGACATCTACTGTTGTCAAACTATTTTTTTTATTTGTTATTAGGCAATTTTGAAGGACTCTGGAAAAAAAAATCTCAGCTTGGCAGACACAAACCACCTGGTGAACACTGGCAGAATCCTACCACCTAGTTAGTTCTTTTCAGTTTGCAGACGGGTAAAGAAATTCAGCCCCAAGAAAAGAATACTGCTCTTTAAATTATTCCTCCCTACTTTTCTCTATCCAGTGACTATATACTGTTTTGATTACTGCAGGGCTTTGCTTAAGCTGTTGACAATGATTTTCTTTTAGAAAAGAACCCTACGGAGAAAATAGCTTAAAAATTGCATAGGATATTCAGAGAGCAAGAATAAGGGGAGATGAAGAGGCTATGTCAGTAATTGACGGAGAACACATAATATAGAATGTCATTTTCCTCCAAACTTTAGTCCACGAAACACTGACCAAGTGAACTACATGCCTTATATACTTAACGATTTGGATTTGATGGGCTATTTGGGACTGCAAGCTATAAAGGTCTAGATCAAGTATCTGTGATCTAGAGAGATCGGGGCCTTAGGTTCTGAATTATATCAACTGTGTTTCCAAGTCCAAATTGGTAGACCTAAGGCTTCCTTGGCTTTCAGTGACTGAAGATGACCCAGTTCTGCTATCTGGAGAACAAAATGGACTCCCCACTCAGAGCAATCAAGACCATCCTTCTTTAATGACAAAAACCACTAAGTAGTCAAATTCCAGAACAATATCAAACAATCAACAAAAGGTAAAAAAGATATTATAATGTAAATTAAGAACTAAATGTAGCTGAACTTAAAAGAGCTCTGTTTAAATCAGAGGAGATCTGTATGAAATTCTGAGTCCATTTCCATGTCCAGGGAACATAGTCATGCTGCAGAGAGTCACACAGATGATACAGGGGAAAAGTGGATCTGTGTATGATGGGAGGGAATGCGATGGGAAATGAAAACCCGGGAATGGGAAAACATGACTCGGCACTGGGGAAGTGGTGGGTTCATTCCAGTCTCACAGTGCTAGGTGAGGGAAAGCAATGGACAGAAGAACTTGTGCATTCTTAAAAAGCAGTGGGTTCCATTCCCCCTGGTAATAAAAATCACTTGGGGACTTTATGAAGAATACATATTCAGGACCCATCCATATGTTGTCTACAAGAGACCCATTTTGAACCTAAAGATACACCCAGACTGAAAGTGAAGGGATGGAGAAGCATCTTTCATGCCAATGGGCCTCAAAAGAAGGCCGGGGTAGTGATTCTCATATCAGAAGAATACATATTTCCAGGCCCACTGCAACCCCTGAATTAAGAGGAGCCTTATAATCTAGACTTTAAAACAAAAAGCCTCAAGTGATTCCGATGAAGAACTGCACTGGGAACCGCACTGTTACCCGCACTAATGTCTGGTTAGCACTTCATTAACGAGTGTTAAACTCTTGGAAAATAAGGCTTTCTCAGAAGACAAAAGAAAGTGTTTTCCATTTAAATTCAAATATACCAATCGGAAGTCCATCAATACCCTGGAACTTCCATGAAAATGTCTGGTGATCGTTTTTTTTTTTGTTTTTTTTTGTTTTTTTTTTTTTTTCCAACTGCTGAGTTCTCCTTCAGTAATGAACATTTTTAGCTGGCTGTGGACATTTATTCAAATATAGGCCTCAAACTGTCCAGATTCTGTCAGGACGGATAAAGTAAGAACAGCTCAAGATATTACTTGAAACCTTGCTAAGACACTATTAATATATCAAAATTTTTGGTAGGTAAGAATAAAAACAGTTTAGGTCACATATAATTTTCTTTCTCCATGCCTTTTAAAGACTTCTCCACATATTTGTTAACTTCTTTTCATTTCTATACATACAATTTTCTTTATTGCCTTCCACTTGCATTTGAAAGTAACCTTATTTACAGTTCCAAGTCCTGTCTACAGGTTACGTGTAGAGGTTACATTTCAGTTGTTAATTAATTGTTCAATAGACATTTTTCTTCTCTCTCAAATGAATTTCCAAGAGGAGGGGCACAGATTCTACTTCTTTAATACCCAGAATATTCAAAGTTATTTCTTAAATGTAGTAGACTCTCAATGACAACTTACTCAACAGATTTTTGTTTTAAGCACTGAATTTTCTTAACTGAAAAAAAAGTGTACCTACCTGTGCTATTCAAAACAGGAGCCACCAGCCACACTTAGTTACTGGAATTTAAATCTAAAGGAATCAAAATTCAACAAAATGAACAACGTAGTTCTTTTGTTGCACCATGCCCTATTTCAAGTGTTCAGCAGTCATATATGGCTCCCACACTGGACTGCACACCACAGATAAAACACATTTTTGCCAGTATAAAAAATGCTACTGGACAGTGGTGCTCTATACAAATCCTTTTACCTTCCTTCCTTCTTTCTTTCCTTCCTCCAATTAATCACCTATTTTAAAAAAGATTTTATTTGAGAGAGAGAGAGAGAGAGCGCGAGTGTGCACGCGCATGCACAAGAGAGCACTAGCAGAGGGAGGGACAGAGAGAACAGGGAGCTCGCCAGGGCGCTGGATCCCAGCATCCTGGGATCATGACCTGAGCCCAA